AGCCTATTTGTTAAAGTCTTACAAGTATATAAGTATATTCTAGGGGAAAAACATTTATTATATAAGACAGTTGGAATAGAGATCACAGTTTTCAAGCCATCGCAAAAAGACTTAATCTGACATCATATTTAGAAGCATTATAGACCATGCCTTAGTAAAAAGTCCTAAGAGCGAGGATAACTTTAACAAGGAGGTGTGAGAAATAATTTACAAATAAGTTAAAAGCAAATCACCAGTTTGGTAGAGAATCTTTGGATTTAGAGTCTGAAGACAGCTTCTCAAGTTGTCTTTGACACTTAGTAGCAAAACAGGGCTTGGGAAATGTCCATTGGATATAATGACAAAGATGACATTAATAGTTTGATTAAAACTGTTCTGGAGAAGAGATTGGAATAAAGTCCATTTGGAGTGAATTAAAAAGAGAGTGAATGGTGAAGAAATAGGTGCTACAATCAGACAGTTCTTTGATAGTAAATTTAAACATCACTTTGTATATGTTTATTGACCTTTGTGTTTTATAAATTGCCTGCTAAGGCTGGCGTGGTGGCTCACACCTGTAATCCTAGTACTCTGGAGGCCAAGGCAGGCGACTGCCTGAGCTCAGGGATTCCAGGCCAGCCTGAGCAGAACAAGACCCCATCTCTTAAAATAGCAAAGTATTGGGTGGCGCCTGTAGCTCAGTGGGTAGGGTGTCCCTATATGCCAAGGGTGGCAGGTTTAAACCTGGCCCCGGTCAAACTGCGACAACAACAACAAAATAGCTGGGCATTCTGGCAGGCACCTGTAGTCCCAGCTACTTGGGAGGCCAAGGCAAGAGAATCGCCTTAAGCCTAGGAGTTGGAGGTTGCTGTGAACTGTGATGCCACAGCACTCTACCTAGGGCAATAAAGTGAGACTGTCTCTAAAAGAAAAAGAAAAATTAGACGATGGAGGCAATGATTCTCAACACCTTACTGGAAAATTCTTGGCTCAGAGCCTGTGGGTCAAGTGGCTAAGGTGCCAGCCATGTACACCCAAGGTGGCGGGTTCGAATCCAGCCCAGGCCCGCCAGACAACAATGATAGCTGCAAAAATAGCCAGGTGTTGTGGCAGGCGCCTGTGGTCCTAGCTACTTGGGAGGCTGAGGCAGGAGACTCGCTTGAGCCCAGGAGTTGGAGGTTGCAGTGAGCTGAGATGCCACGGCACTCTATCCCGGGGGACAGCTTGAGGCTCCTGTCTCAAAAAAAAAAAGAAAGAAAATTTCCTAACTTAAAAGTTGTAAATACCATCAGTGCCAACATAGCCTCAATCTAGATTCAACAATTATTATTGGTCAGGTGTGGTGGCTCACACCTGTAATCCTAGCACTCCGGGAGGCCGAGCTGGGTGGATCACCTGAGCTCATGAGTTTGAGAGTAATTTGAGTAAGAGTGAAAGATGGCTGTCTCTACTAAAAATAAGGAAAAAGAAAAACTAACTGTGTATTGTGGCAGGTACCTGTAGTCCTGGCTACTCAGGAGGCTGAGGCAAGAGGATTGCTTGAGCCCAAGAGCTTGAGGTTGCTGCTAGCTGTGAGAGCACAGCTCTCTACCCAGGGACACAAAGTGAGACTCTAGATCAAAAACAAACAAACCAATTATTATCAACATTTTGCTACATTTGCTTTATCTCTCTGCCTGTCTATATAGAAATTGGTTTGGAGGGCTCGGCACCAGTAGCACAGTGGTTATGGTGCCGGTTACATACACCGAGGCTGGCAGGTTTGAACCTGGTCCAGGCCAGCTCAACAACAATGATGACTGCAACCAAAAAATATCCAGGCATTGTGGCAGGCACCTGTAGTCCCAGCTACTTGGGAGGCTGAGGCAAGAGAATCACTTAAGCCCAAGAGTTTGAGGTTGTTGTGAGCTGTGAAGCCACAGTACTCTACCAAGGACAACATAAGGAGACTCTGTCTCAAAAAAAAAAAAATTGGTTTTGGGAAGGTAAACCATTTGAAAGCAAGTTATAGGTATCATGACACTTTACCCTAAATACTTAAACATGCTAGGCTGGGCACGGTGGCTCATGCGTATAATCCTAGCATTCTGGGAGGCCAACACAGATGGATCACTTGAACTGAAGCGCTTGAGACCAGCCTGAGCAAAAGTAAGACCCCCTCTCTAAAAATAGCTGGGCATCATGGTAGGTGCCTCTAGTCCCAGCTATTTGGGAGGCTGAGGCAAAGGGATCACTTGAGTCTAAGAGTTTGAGATCTCTGAGCTATGATGCCATGGCACTCTTACTAAGGGTGACAAAATAAGACTTTGTCTTAAAAATAAGTAAACAAACACCAACATGTATATTTTAACAATAGGACATTCTACTACATAACCTTAATACCACTTAAGAAAAAAAAAATTTTTTTTTT